AAGGAAGGAAGGAAGGAAGGAAGGAAGGAAGGAAGGAAGGAAGGAAGAGGAGGAGGAGGAGGAAGAGGAGGAGGAGGAAGAAGAAGAAGAGGAGGAGGGAGGGAGGGAGGGAAGGAGAGAGGGAGGGAGGGAGAGAGGGTGGGAGGGAGGGAGGGAGAAAGGTCATGCTCCCTAATGTATGCTCAAATAGGGTCTAGAAAGACCCTCAGAAAACCAGAAGGGCACAATGGGACTTCAGTGTTCAAACTAGTCTGCTGGGAAGTAAGGAGCCCCATGTTACAAGGCACCTCGGCAGTCAGTCAGATGTCCTCCAGACTAGGACAGAAACTCCTGGCTGTGCTCTTTAATGTCTGCTGATCAGTTTAAGCCTGTATTCCCCAGACTCACTCGCAGTTAGCTAACTTTGACCAATGGGGTGTAAATGAGAGTATTTCAAGGAAGCCTCTGAGGTTACAGTTCCTTCTTCATGTTCTTTACACTTTAGTCTGGCAGGTATCTGAAAATGAAATTCATGAGTATTATGCATTTAATTTACAGTTCCAAAATGCCTTTATGATGTGGAGGACTGGTCCACACACCCTTTCTCTTCTTTAGTGAAGGAACTATTCAAATGTTTGCCTGCTTTCAATATTAAGTAGTTCATTTTCTTTTTACTAGATGCTGACAGCTCTTTATTTTAGATACAAATTTTGTTTCTTTGGTTGGTTGGTTGGTTGGTTGGTTGGTTTGAAGGAGTGGCAAGAAATGAGGGTGGGGACACAAACCCAGAGCCTTGCACATACTAGACAAACATACTGAGTTAATCTCCAGCTCTGAGTCTAATTTCTTGATGAGAAGTGTATTTGTAAAGTAGCAAGTAGTATCCAAGTATATTATCATGACCTTACATTTCTAAAAAGTGTTTCAATAACAGATTAAGAAAATGCTGGTGGGCTGGAGAAACAGCTCAGCAGTTAATCACACTTGCATAGGGTTTAGGTCCTCTGCAAGAGGGCCAGGGTTCAGCTCTCAGTACCTACATAGCAGCTAACAACCTCTGTACCTCCAGTTCCAAGGGATCTGATGACTTCTGACACTACGGGTTCTATAACTATGAAATGGTGTACAAAAATTCATACAGGCAAGGCACAGATACACATAAAATAAATGTGAAGTAATTTTTCAAAATTCTTTAAGAGAGGATCTCAAACATCTCAGAAGACCTGGAACTTTTGGTCCCCCTGCCTCCACCTCCTATGTGCTAAATGTGTGCTACCATGTCTAGCATGCACTGCACTGGGGATTGATTCCAGAGCTTTGTACATGCTAGACCAGCAATCTACCAACTACGCTAAATTCCCACCTTAAATTTTTATAGAGTTTATAGTAGTATTTGGGCACCATATACCTAAAAACTTCTTACCTAACTAAAAATAATAGAAATCCCCTTTATTTCTTCTCTAAGTTTTATAGTTTTAAATTTTAGGACTAGAATTATCATCTATTTGAACTGATTTTAATACACAGTCCAAGGTAAGGATCAGACTAATGTTTTCATACATGGAAGTCCACTGTGACAGCACTATTGTATAATAAAGCCTTCTCCTTACTGAATGTATCCTGTGTTGTCTATTTGTTCCTTGTCTCTGTTAACTGTTTCCCATAATTAACAATCACAAAGAATTGAGAAACACTACATGTGTTTTTATTTTTCTAGCCCCAGCTCTGCAGTGGTAAGGATAAATTACAAGAGTCAACCTCTCCTTTTTATAACTGAACATCCCCAATGACAGATGGTACTTCGGACCCCACACAAGCATAAAGAATCATCCGTGGCTTGTTTAAACCACATCTTGTCTAAAACTGGGATAATGATAGCAACACTGAGGGGCTATGAAGACAAAATGAGATTACGGTAGTAAACATATTCAGGGCAATACTTGGAACATAATAGGCACTCAATAAATACTTGTTCCTTTCTGCATTTCCCCTTAGACCATAAATAAAAAACAAAGATAATAAATCTAACAAATAAGTATTTCCATTTATTTTAGTCTATTAATAGGTTGGGCTAGTTATCAAAATAATGAGAAAGTAAAAACTAATTCACCTAGAATATAGATGTGTGAAATACAAGTTCATACAACATCTGATAGTGACGAATCACACTATGATTTTATGGCCCTGATTCTCTGAATTTATGCCTAAAAAATAGATGCTAAAGTGCTGGGCCATCAGGTATCTGTCAGAACATTTTATGCTGAAGAACACATATTTTGAAACTTGGAGTGAGATCTGGTCTTGTAAAATTAAAACTGTGTTTCATAAGAAAGATTTAAAAATAGAAGAGGGACCTGCCTGGGCCTTTCTGGACATAAAATAAAAACATCCAGAAGACAAGAAAAAGACACAGGTGGGGTCATTACATTGCCCCAGGCACAAATGCTTTCTGTCTTAGAATTCTGGATTGTGTCCAGATACAAGTTCTAAACTTTCTGGCATCTGCTCCATAAATGCATCACGGCACTTGGCATAAGTCTGGGGAAGCATTAATTTTGCATGGAAATCACTTAGATCTTGGTTTAATTTGTCTCAAAAGACTACACAAGCAACTCAACTGATATAAGAGTCTAAGACGTATGTACTCTCTTGGTAGAAAAAAAAATAAGGCCTTCTTTTAAAAAGTAATAAGGTATTCAAGTTCCACAGAAATGAGGACAGTGTTCTAACTTTTATGTAAACACACAATAATCTTCATGAATACACACTTGACAGGAAACTCATATACATATACTTAGAAACTACAGTGAGAAGACAATAGTCCCTTTTTTCTTTCCCAGTTTCTGCAGTCACTCCAGGATATGTACACAAATCTGAAGATTTGGAGCCAGACACCTCTGATGAGA